GTCGCATTAGCCACTAAACGTTTATGTACTTTAACATATATGGATATTTCTCTCATTTGCAGTAAATCCAAACCCCCCAGTTCCAAAAATGTGGGGACACTGTGTGAAATGCAGTGCAGAATGCAATCATTTGAAAATCTCACAACCTGTATTTTAATCACGATATAAAAGAAGCAAAACATATCAAAAATTAAAAATAGGGAAATGTACGACTTTCAGAAAAAAATATTAGCTTGTTTTGAATTTCATGGCTGCAATGTGTCTTGAAAAAGTTGGGATAATTTGCTTCCTTTTTAGTCCAGAGTACAGGATGTTTTCCAAAAAAGAAGTTTAAATTTTGATTCGTCTGACCACAGAACAGTTTTTCACTTTTCCTCTATCCATTTTAAATGAGCTCTGTCCTGCAGAAGACTGGTGTTTTTGGATCTTGTTCATGTATGGCTTACTCTTTCCATGATAGCGCTTGAACCCCATCCTCCTTGTGAACTGCCCCTCTGCCCCTCTACCCTGCTGAGAATCTCTCCCTGTCGAAGATGCTCGATTTATACCCAACCATATTACTTTGTTACATTGTTACCTGACACGAGAACTTAAACATTTCACACATTGTCCCGACTCTTTTTGGAACTGGGGTTGTAAAATATTTAGCACTGATGACTGTTTTTGCTCTTCTAAGATGACCACCCTGCCCCATGGAAAATATTACGCCGTGAAGCGAGTCAGCAAGAAGCACATTGTTGCCAAGAGACAGGAAGAGCACATGCTGTTTGAGAAGAAGATCCTTAAAGCTGTGCAGTGTGAATTCATTGTCAGGTATCAAAGATATGTGGACTGCAGTGTTTTAAATCCATCGGTTGAGCGCAGAGCACCTGAAAATGTTTTCTGCTCTCGCTGTTTCTAGACTTCATGGAGCTTTCAAAGACACACGATACATCTACATGGTGATGGAGTTCTGTAGTGGTGGGGAAATCTGGACCAAACTCAAAGAAGTGTAAGACGAAAAGTGAAATCATGCTCTATATTTGGAGTTCCCAAGTTAAAATACATACTTTTTTGTAGAAGCTGTAGCAGATGGAAGTTTACAGAAATTTTTAAGAAAACCGTTGTCCAAGTTATTGCATCTTTGTGAATGTTAGAGGTCGTTTTGACGAGCCTGTCGCTGTGTTCTGCACTGCCTGCGTGGTAGAGGCCTATGCTTACCTCCACAAGAAGAACATCATGTATAGAGACCTAAAGCCTGAGAACCTGATGCTGGATGCGAAGGGCTACGTCAAACTGGTGCGTCTTTAGCTGTAAACAAGTTTCTAAAGCAAACAAACTTTTTTTTTATGTGAATTTCTGTTAATGAAGACTTTATCATCACATTTGATTCTTGTGTGGGTGCTTGTCACCATCCAGGTTGACTTTGGTTTTGCAAAGGAGCTGGTTCGGGGTGAGAAAACCTACTCATTTGTTGGTACTCCTGAGTACATGGCTCCAGAGATCATCAAGAACCAGGGACATGACTTTGCAGTTGACTTTTGGTCTCTTGGCATCCTGATTTTTGAACTATTGGCAGGAAGGTAATAACAATGATAATAATAATACTTTTTTTTTTAAACAACAGAGACATAAAATGACCTTAATGTTTACCAGCAGATGGCAGCAGCACTGTATGGCTTTTTCAGAGCTCAGTGTCTCACAATTTCAGGTTTCAGTCTTTTTAATACCATTCAATAAAAATTAAACATTTATTAACAACACGTTTTTATTTCTGTTTTCAAATGGTCAGCCCTCCCTTTTCAAGCTCAGAGCCCCAGAAGATTTATGCCAAAATTTTGGATGGGGAGCTCCATTATGCACCTTATATGAGCGAAGCAGCCAAGTCCATTATCAGTAAACTGTGCAGGTAAGAACAGCTGAGTTTATTGAGAGCACATAGATTACATTTTCATATAGGTCACTGATAATTGTACAAAAAAGAAAAATGGAATTAGACCTTATGAAAATTTCACTCAGTGGCAACTTCATTATCTACACCATCCTAATACTGGATTAGACCCCTTTTTGTCTTATTTGTGGCATAGGTGCTTAAAACATCCTCAGAGATTTTGGTCCATATTGGCATGACAGCATCACACAGTTACTGCAGATTTGTCAGCTGCACATCCATGATGTGAATCTGCTGTTCCACCACATCCCAGAAGAGCTTTTTACACTAAGATCTGGTACCTGTGGAGGCTGTTTGAGCACAGTGAACTCACTGTAATCAGTTTGAGATGATTTGAGGTTTGTGACATTATTGCATATTAGCTTGCAAGAAGCAGCCATGAGAAAATTGGTACACTGAGGTGTTAAAGGGATGGACATGGGTAGTATTAATAGTCAGGTAGGCTTTAGCATTTAAAACAGAGATTTCAAAGTAATTTCCACATCGTGGGCCACAGTTTGATCTTAAGTGGGCTGGACCAATGAAATGTGTAAAATTACAGAAAACTATATCTAGTAGTTCACTGCACACACTGTCCCGTAACTATACAATATAGTTTGTCAATGTGTGTTTTTGTCTGTTTTTGCTGACTGTGAATTCAATGTAAAAACTGATATTTCTATAGAAGAGTGGATTTAATTACTTAAGTATAGTATGGATGGCTGTAGGGAAGGTCTTTATCATAAGCTGTAAAACTGATGAGATTAAAAGTTTAAAAGTCTCTAAATTTATGCCTTTTAGTGGACTGGATTGGAGTCTTTGCGATTCTGGTCCCCGGGCCTTATGTTTGACAACCTGGTTTAAACACAAAATTATTACAAAACTATCGTTCGCTGGATATTTTCTCTTTTTTGGACCATTCTCTGTAAACTCTAAAGATGGGTGTGTAAGAAAAAATCCCAGTAGATTGTCAGTTACTGAAATACTTAGACCAGCCCGTCTGGCACCGACAACCACGTTCAAAGTCACTTAAATTACCTTTCTTCCTCATTCTGATGCTCAGCTTGAACTGCACGTCTAAATGCATTGGTTTGCTTCCATATCGTTGGCTGATTTGAAATAGAATTCACAAGCACTTAAGCAGGTGTACCAAAAAAAACTAAAAATCCCCCAAAATCTGGTTGGTGAGTTTTCTTGTTTGGAAATGCCACAGTGCCTCAAAGTACAGTGTGAATAATGAAAAATGACAAAAATGTCTGAAAAAGAAAGCATTCCATCATTAGATGCATTTGTATTTATATAGAAATATATTTGTAATAAAACACACCTCTTGAAAAATGAAAGCTCATGAAACCAAAAGCAGTTTCTGAACTGCCTTCTCTCTGAATGATGCATTTTTTCAGACCTCGGCCTGGTCAGAGATTAGGAAACACCAAAAATGGGATCAAAGATATCCGGCATCACAGGTAACCATGGCAACACTCTCTTCTTTGGTCACCTACTGCTGCCTGTACCGTAGTACATTACACTACACCACCAGTCTGAACCACTGGTACAACCAAGATGTATCCATGCTTTCACGTTGTTTATGCCAGCATCTGAAATCGAGAACAGAAAGCTTTTTTCCAAACTTCCATCATCCAATTTTGGTGTGAATTGTAATGTCAGTTTCCTGAGCTCTTCTGCTTACCTCGGTTGTAACCAGTTGTTATCTGATTTACTGTAGCCTTCCTATCTAACTTGAAGCAGGTCAGCTATTCTCCTCTGACCTTTGGCATCAACAAGGCATTTTTGCCTATATTGAACAGGCAACAGTAATTTTATACATTTACTAATCTGTAATGATAAACATTATGCACCTTTCCACCTCAAGTGCATAGCACATACGATGTTGCGTAATTATTATAGCGGTATTACTATAGAGTGAGTACATTTACTACAATAAATATATACTATGTGAAAAATAGGGAAGTGATTAGCAGTCTAAAGTTCTTTGTACAGAAAAACAGCATGGTGATTTTGTCTTTATAGATTATGTTTCTACACTGCTGATTGAGCCTTTTTACCTTGTTATTATTTTATGATTATAAAACCATGTTTAATAATAATAATAATAATAGTAATAGTAATGACAAAATCTCCCTTTTTACCTTCAGGTGGTTCAGCAGTATGAACTGGCACAAGCTGCGTGTGGGTCAGCTTGAGGCTCCCACAGCACGGCTTATCCGCAAGGCAAGTCAAACCAGTGTTACTCTTACATGGAAAGCAGAGCCTTTTTTTATGTTTAGAGAAAGTGAAACAAAAGAAGGACCGCAGGCAGGATTGTGTGGAGCAAATATTACTGGTTTTCGCAGTGGCTAAAGAACGTTTTGATACATGAAACCCACTGTGTATTCAGACTATATTAACAAAACCTGGGTCTGAAAGGTTATTACACACTGCATGAACATGAAAAAATAGAAAGTCCAAATGGAAAACAACCCTAAGTTTTTCACCCTCATATCATTACTGGCTCCAGAAAGGAAATTAGCCTATCGTAGTTGCTCCAGTTTCTTGCTCTTCTTGTCCTCATCCTCTTCCTAGTCATGTGTTAAGATTAAAAAAAAAAACTGTAGGATTATGCTTTCAAATGAACATTTAAAAATATTTTTACTAAATGCTTCATTCAAAAGTAAATGCTTCTTTAAAATAAATGATCAACTCCCCAAAAATGTTGAATTTGCTTCATTGGGACTATGTGGGTGTTATTTCGTCACTAGCCGAATTTTGTTAAAATGAGGGGATTTAAGAGTGCTTAATATTACTGATTAGAAATAGATTACGGGATAGGCTGTTTGATGAGCTTCATTAACATTTCATCCTCTTTCAGGGTCCCTGCTACATCAACTTTGATCGCTTCCCTCTTGATCAGACGAAGGCAGAAGAGGAGTTCTCTGGCTGGGACCGTGACTTCTGATTCTGCCATGTTAAAGGATCAAGAAGAGATCCCCATATAGGATAATTGTAGGTCGCCTGAGCTGGGGCCAAAACAGGGCTAAAGTCATATGAGGGTGGGAAGAATTTCCTGTTTGGAAAAAACAAAACAAACAACCAAGTTGATTTAAATTTGATTATTGGAGTGAAACTGTATCGAATCATGCACTTTAGACGTGTGCCGAAATTCCTCTTTTGCTATTCTAAAACAACCATAAAGATGGATAAGGGGCCAAAATATGTAAATGTGTTACAAGAACATGGTACAACATTTTGTTTCCAAATATAGTCCAAGTCAATTTGGTGTCTGGTGGAGAAGTGCCAATAACAACATCTAAAAAACACTTTTTACTGATTCCAATAAAAACACCCATCCCTGTGTTTAGTGGAGAGTTTCTGTCATGTGGTACAACTTGTACCAAACAACAACAACAAAAAAAACCTGTCCTTATCAAACCTGGAAATACAATCATTTCTAATGCCATAGCTGTAATGTATGTCTGTGTCTATTGTTCCTTTGAATCTTTAAAGTTTTAAAGAAAAAAAAAGTGCTTATCCTCTTGATAAAGTTGTTTACGTTACACTGTTACTTTCTTGTGGTGTTAGGCCTTGATTTCTAGATAAAAAGATAACTGAACATCATGATGAAGAATACCTTTTTGATTGAAAATAAAGAAAAATTGCCCTTATACACTCGATTCAGCTCAATTTGTTACTGTGCTGCAATAAAATACCGAGCCGATTTGATTTACTTTTTTACCTCCTGCTGACACCAAAGTATTCAGAGATTAGATTTGTGATAGATAACAATGCATGGTGGAAATGCGTTTTTAAGAATGTTATCAGGGTGGAAAGTGGCCTGTGACAGAATAAGGGTTTAATCTCATGTTCTTGACAATGGCTGCAGCTGACTGTTTGGGTCTGGAAAGGCACAGCTGTCTGATGTGGCAGCAGGTTTTAGGGCTGGAGGAAGGAGTCTTCCTGTCCCCTCCTGTTAATGCGCACGATGTGCCTGCTGAGACCAGTTTTCCACATCACGACACAAACTTCACAGGAATAAAAACCACATCTTCCAGAGGGAAAATACCCGCTGCCAGATGTTTCCTTCCTACAGAAGACCCAAAACACATTGAAGCATAGACTCTAATACCCCAGCAGCAATGACAGAAGCAGCCCAGAGGATGCACAGTATAGTTACAAGTATTTCCTATTCACAGCAGTAAACCGTGACTTCCTGTTTGCAGATCACTTTGTTTTACCTGTGATGCATGTGGTATGATTAACAGAGCAAACACAATATACTCTGTTTATCCAATCCCAGTAACTCATAACAGTTTTCTGATTTCTTGTCACTCTCTCGAGTAACATTCATGTGTATTGAAGCCCCATTTCTTCCAATGATGCCATAGATTTCAGCTGCACTGAATGCATCTCCAGACTCATTATAAACGATAGATTGAGCAGAAAGGGGATCGAGGCTGATAGACTCAAACGAACATTTACACAGTCAAGAGATTGATGTGGTCTTATCCTGACTCCTGTCTGTGAGTCTCTCTGTCTTCAAGCTCATTTTCTTGCGAGGAATATTGACTGAGCTCCATGTGAGAGGATTGTCTCATGCAGCCTGAAGTTTAACCTGAAACACTAAAGAAGAAAAAAGAAACACCAGGGAAAAGCAAACATTTGCGCCTCGCTGTGTTCTTTCACTAAATGTCCTTCCCGGTTGTGTTTTCTCCACTGAGCAGTCTTGAGTTAATTAGGCTCAGTGCTAACACCTGTGCTGATTAATTATTGTTTGCACCTGTGCTGAGTCTACTTAAGCCCCTCTCTTTGCTTGCTGCTTTGTTTGGTCACTTATGTTTGAGAGGTCTGAGTGGGCATCTGTTTCTGCGTAAGGCAGTCCTGATGAGTGATTGGCTGCCCTGAAAAAGAATACAAAAGTGCAGGAAACATGTAACCACTTCAATCAGCACTCTCGATCTGACTTCTCCATGCAGGTATTATATTTCCCATAACGGGATCATAAAGGAGCCACTACTTGATGCTCTATTAAAAGCACTCCAGTCTGGAGATTTTAGTGTGTGTGTGGTTTTTCCTATACCCCAATGAACCATCAAAACCCAGAACATGTAAAACATTATGTACTCTGATTGATTGTACCCAGTTGAGAACTGGAAAATATTTGAAATGATTGTTGCACAGCTTTGGCTAGTCATATTCTGGACAATGATTGCATGATTGCATTCATGCTTGAATGAAAAGTCCTGCAAATTTTGTTAATTTTAATTATTTTTTATTATTATTTCCATTATGTATTTTTTTTTTCAACCTCATTTTTAGTTTAGTTTAGTTTTTGATATTTGTATGGCTGGTTTAAGAAGTTCTGAACAGGTAAAACAGTACACATGCAACAATTTGTGAACATGGTCAACTCTCATATATAGACAAGTCTCAATGAATACATATGCACCCACAGCTTCTTCAGGAAATGACTAAAACTAAGGGCATTTTTCATTTTATTTTAGTGTTGAGCATGCAATGTAATGCAGGTAAAATGGGTTTGTAGTAGCTTTCCTAATGGAAACCTGCATACTAAGCTTCAAGCTATATCCAGGTCCTGGGGCTAATTCACCTGCCAGCTTGGGATATTTCTGTACAGAGTTCTGGATAATCTGGCTCCCTCTCACAGTCCAAAACACACACATTTTTGGCTAATTGGTGAACTTGGGAATGCGAAGGGTTGTCTCTCTGTGATAAACTGGCGACGTGACCAGGGTGAATCTTGCCTCTCGCTCTATGACAATTGAGATAGCCTCCCCCCCGAACCTGAATGGAATAAAGGGAGGAAAACGGATGGATGGATGAATGGTTGTCTGTCTCATTGTTAGCCCTGTGACAGATAGGTGACCTGTTCAGGATGTACCCTGTGACAGCTGGGACAAACACCAACCGTAAACACGACCCTTAAATAGTTAGCTAAAATTAAAATTAGGAACTTAAGTCCGTTGGTTATTCTTTCATTTTCCCTATTGTAACTCTAGTTTACAACTACTCTTGATCTGCTGCCAGTATAAAAATAAATGTGCAGCTGCACTAAGCAGAGAAAAAATAACTCAGAAATTCCACTTCTCTGACAAGATTGCATGTGTCTGGGTACAGCCAGTAGGTGTGTGCAGGAAAAAAATCAAACAAAAATAGAACTTGAAAGCTAACATTTGATGTGATGGACTATGAAAGCTCTTCCTCAGTGTCCACCTCTCTCCTGTGTTTCCTGTTTAGAGGCAGGACTCATCTCATGTTAACTCATGTGTGAGATTACCTTTGAGATTTCCCTTTTGCCCCCTTCTTTTTTATTTTTACATGACATGTGCTAAAAACTATTGTTTATCAGACTCTTCCACACCTGTTGCAGCAGGCCAGAAATAGCGAAGCTCTGCTGTTGTATAACTTTTAAAATCCTGCTAAATTAACTGCTGTTATTCACCTTTAATAGTTCAGCTGCTTCCTGACTGAGTATATGGTTTTAATTATATCCTGATAATGTCTGTCTGTGATGACTGGCTCTAATTTACCAAATGTAGCTGCTTGTGTATGCAGAAAATAATGGTATATGCAGAAGCATACTGTATGTATTTTAAACCCACAGCATGCACTTATTTCCTGCCAGCAACCATTATATAACTGTAGTTATATAACATTTAAATTGAGGAAGTCAATGTATGAGTTATTGTCTTGTCCATGATTTTATTTGACTTTTGAAGAAATTATTGCTCCTCAGACACTGAGCACGATAACTGAGTCACCTTTCTTTGAGTATTTCTTGACCTGCTCTGCTATTATGAGGCAGGTCCTTATCTCTGATGAAAATGCTGATTATTCACAATGAGAGTAGTAATGACCATAATTTGTGTAATAGGTTATATCACAACTTTCTTCATATCCGTTTACCCCTTATCTCCTGTTTTCTAAATGACTGGGAAATTTACCTGAAAATACAGTATACTGCCAGTAGCTAAACAGTGCGCACTGACTCAGTATCTGCACATTTAAAACCTCAGCGTTGCCTTTTTTATTGTATATGTACAGAGTAAAGCCAACATTTCATGTGTTCCTGTCCTTAAGAGCTATTTTAAATTTCCCAGGTGACAAGTGCTTTAAAACAGCAATCAAAGTTACAGTTTGAGTGTGGTCGTGCATGAATTCTGTATGCAGATGGATTTAACGCTCCTTCCTAATTTGGCCTCAGCGATGAGTTGCTCTTATGCATGAATGCCCTTCAGGCCCTTGGAAACAGCTGCACTTATAGGTACCTACAATGTCTCATTTCAGTTCTTCAGCACACTCCAATTATAGTTATAAATACAGGAGCTGAGTAGGTGTAAATGTGGTACATGCGTATGTGCATAAGTGTTTGGTGGGATAGAGAGCGGTTCAAAAAGCAGAATATAAAGGACTTTTTTTAGTCATCACATGGTACTGGACATTATTAAAAACAAGTAACCTGCTCTGGCAAGGAAAGACATCTTCTGTGAAAAGCCCTAATGTATTTCAAAAAGGTGACAATCTTATGAGAAGATTATGGACATAATGAGCTGACCTTGGTAGAAGAGAATGGCCTTAGGAACTAGATGATGCCCAGCCACTTGCTATGACACGTGCATCTACTGAGCTAAGGATGAAAACTGTGGCTGAAAGAGTTTTATCAGAAGGGATCCTACTCTACTCATCATCCCCACTTCCAGCATTACAGAAACCAACGATCTTGTACATGCCACTCCCACAATCCTAGAAAAACTTGGGTATAAGAGCAGGAATGTCTTATACCCTAAATGTGACCCCACTTTGTAGGTATTTTTACCAAGTCCTCACTGTTCAGCAAATATAAGAATGTGTGTGTGCATGGAGTGCTTAGGTTTGCTGAATATAGCCAATGGAA